AGACCCTGCATTTGTCTTTCTGATCTCCAGATTTGGGGCTTACCAGACATTTCCTTAAAGTTCATGAGTTTCTGTAAGACATTGCAGTGAATCGTAGAACCCAGGGATGATACTCAATGGAGCAGTAGGGGTATGAAAATGGAGTGAAATAACATCTTGGAAGTGTTGAATATTGGGGCATCTTTAATCTCTAAGTTTTGGGATTAGTCTGCTATCAATTTCCCTAAAAGAGACTATTATAACACCTCCAAGAGATACTTATTGTGATAGTTAGGTTTATTGTGCCAACTAGGCTTCCATAAGTACATGTGAGTGGAGTTTCATCAGGTCGCAGCTGGATTGGAGGACAATTAGATAAATGACTTTCTAAGCCCTTCCCTTTCCCTCCCCCCTGGTGATAGGACCAGTGTTCTTCCCCCTGATCTAGTTCTTTGCCTCAACCATGTGCCAAGGTAACCTGCGGTTCATGCAACCTTGCCTGAGTGCATCTCTTGAGTTTGAGTTTCCATGAGATCTAGTTTGCCAAGCTTCTTGAGGAGCCATCAGACAGCTTCCCTATGCTACTGGCCTCTTCTGCACCTCAATTTCTTATCTTCCTGCTGTTGCTGGCCCACCCTGCTTCTCTTGCCTGAAGGCAGACTCCTCTGGCAGCTTCCTTGAACTTAGACCAGCAGCTGGTTGAGTAAAATAACTTCAGTATATTAATTGTTCCATGAAAGTGAGTAGAACAGAGGCTTCTCTACTGTTGCTGGACTCTACTGGACTAATTAGCTGTTATATTATTTCTCAGTATATAAACCTATTTATCTAGCTTTCTATCTATCTATCTATCATCTATCTATCTAAAGCATAGGTGTCCTGATTTTGTTTCTATAGAGAACCCTGCCTAACACACTTATGAATATTACAATTTAAGAAATATTGCCTTAAGCCTGTGGTTCTTAAATCAACACATTAAACTTACTTAGAAAGCTTTGAAAATACTAATTAGTGAGCTCCACTTCCACAGATATTTTTTTTTACATAATTAGTTTATGTTGAAGCATAGGTGTGTTAGTCTGGGTAGACTAGAGAAAAAAATTCAGAGAGACTCATATGTGTTTAAGAAAGAAGTTTATATACAAGAGCAATTGAATACTGAGAAAACATCCCAGCCCAGTCCAGATAAAGACCATAGCCTGATATTAGCCCACATGTCTGACACCAATCTATAAAGTCCTCTTCAGACTCACGAAACACATGGAATGATGCCGAATGCAGGAAGATTACAGGTGATTGGGTTGGAAGTCTTGTGGATCCAATGGCATTGTAAGTATCTCAGTGCTGACAGGGGTCTCCAGGTGGGTGTCCAGCTCAGGGCACTAGCATATTTCCAAGTGTCTTGTCAGTAGAGAGACTCTCAGGGAGTGAGCCGAGAAAGAAAAAGAGAGAGAGAGAGACTCCTACCTCCAAGGAGAAAATACCAGATTTCCCAGAATCCTCAGGAGAAGGCCATGCCCACACAGAGGCCTCGTTGGCTATGACCCCATTGACAGGCTAGACTTCACTCCTTTACTCTTAATCCTCACATTGACAAATGATTATATATCTACCACAATAGGTGCTGACATTCTTATAAATTGACCCAAGTGAGTAAATTTATTGACAGCTAAACCCTGAACCAATGCTCTGATCTATATTTGATAGAAAATTGTCCCAGGGTCACGTCTGACATTATGTCTTTATTTGGTGAAGACTCCTTTGTTTGGTTCGCTTTATTAATTTACAGAAAATCGCTTCCACGTGTGAAGAAAATTAAAGAAATTAAAAGATTGCTCAAAGAAAAAGACAGACTCCTCTAATCATCCATTACCCACATACAATCTCAACTTAGAATGTGTAGGTGACTTACAATGTTAAATACAAGGAAAGGGAGTTAGGTTTGTAAACAGGCCCTACAGAGTCCAATAAGATTTGACTCTCTACTCCACTATCTTTGTTACGAACACCTGTCCAAAGGATTCTAATCATAGATGTTTCCTGTAGTTAAAATGCAATTGTAACATGATGTTTCAGATAATGCAAAGTTTATGTGAACCTAAATAGAGGCTTTGTACAAGGAGTTGAAATAAAGAAAATAAACAAATAGAAATGATTGCTGAGTCTTTTGGGAGGACTGAAATTATGGGAGTTTGGCCTATTTCAATGGAAAAACTAGTACATGATCAGTCCAACATTTTTAGTTACCCTTAATAAATCTAGGAATTAATTGAACCCATATTTATGAGAAAAATGATGGAGCTTTCTACTCCATTAAAGATTTACAGTCCCAGAAACTTACAGGGGCAGATAGAGCCTGTCCTATAGTGTTTCTAGGAGAGCATGAACTCGGTGGAGGGAATTTGTTGTTTTTTAATATTCATTTCTAAATTTATGCTAAGTAGTGTGACAAATGATATTTTCACAGTCATAGAGAATTGAATAGTGTACAATTTTTTTGTTATCTTGCATTCTCTGCAGGAAATTTTTCTGTAATTAGAGAGAGCTATACTATTCTGCCTTATAATTTTAAATGTATGATTGTGTCTATTTGAATTTTCCTGTCAGATTTTCTACTTACATAAATGTTGATCTAAATTAAAATCTTGAGAGGTAAATGTATGTTTTTGAGAAAAGGAACACATTTATAGAGAAGCATGTTTTCTATGTTAGAAAGAGGGTTTTACCAAGACTAACCCATTCAAATGTCGTACTGACAATCTGTAAAATTTGGCTATATTTTAAAAAATTAAACTCTAGCAACTAAATTATGACAACGTGTGTCTATAGTCAGTCTTCAGTATTTTGCAATGTCTTGCTACAATGTGTTTGCGGTCCAAACCCATTCACCACTTTGCAAGGGGACCATGAGGCTATCTTTCCCATAAAGCTTTGCAGCTTCAGAAGCCCTATGGAAGGTTGTTGTGAGTCAGAATGGACTCAGTAGCACTGAGAGTGAAGTTTTTTAATCGGCTCATACTTTACATCCTTTTCATGTATTTATTTTATTGCTTTCGAATGGCATTGCCTGGACTGGGATTTTGGGTCCAGGGCCTATCAGTGTTTACTGCTTTCAGGTTGCTCATTACATTTCTGGTCTTTTGCATGGGCAAGTTCAAGACAGAAAGGAGTCAAGGTTTCCTCAGAGTCTCTTTGAAGCCAACTCAGACAGCATTTGGGCCACATTGAGAAGAAGAGCATACAGTGTGCTTAACTCCATTTGGTGGCCAGGCTCTTTTGTAATTCTACCTGTAACGTCCATCTCTGCCATGGAGTCAACTTCCTGTGCACTGGGAGCAGCAGCCTCCTCTTTCCCTTGCAAAGCAGCTGGTGGGTTCACACCGCTGACTTTGCCATAAGCAACCCAAATCATAAACCACTGTGCCACTGTTAATAAAGCTTGTATGATTCTCTCCTGCTGTCTACTTTATAATTTCTTTTCTAGCTTATTTTTATCTTTTCCATGTGGATGAATACTATTTGTTTGAATAAATACTTGATTCTGTTCTACAGGGAGTTGAGAGCCTACTAGAGAAAAGATTCATAAAAACTAATCAAACAAAACAACATGACACACAGAGATTGTTGACTCTAAATAAGCCAAACCAAACCCATTTCATGGAGTTGGGTCTCACTCCTAGCAGCGCTATGGTTTCCAAGGCTGTCAATCATTCCAGAGTAAGACCACTTTATCGTTCCCCCTCAGATTTACTGGTGGGGATGAACCACTGCAGGAGCCCTTGTGGGCATGGCGGTTATGAGTTGGGCTGGATCGGAAACCACCAGGGGCTCCCCTAGCAATTCTCTCCTGTCCTGAAGGTTTGGTAGGGGTCACTATTGACTCGGTGGCAGCTAGTATCTTTTTAAGTTATTTTGAATTTGTATGTAATAGTCCAATGCTATAAGAAAGCCATATACATGGAGAAGGGTTTTTATATTCTATATTTCATCTGTTACAAGTATAAAACAGTGTTCAGTTGTTAAAACTTAATAACCAATTGTGTATAATTTTAATAATATATTTTCATATTTAATAAATTTAATATTATTTACGTATCTGGAACAGTGAGAAATCCTGGTGGTGGAATGGTTATGTGTTGTGCTGTTAACCTCAGTGCCAACAGTTCAAAATCATCGGCCGACCCCCAGTAGAAGGATGAGGCTTTCTAGTCCCATAAAGAGGTACAGGATCAGAAGCTCCCAGGAGCAGTTTTACCCTGTCCTCCATGGTCACTATGAGTCAGAACTGACTCGATGTTAGTGAGTGTTGGCTTACCTAGTGCAAGAATAAAATTGCCCATTTAAATTATAACATCCCCAAGCCTTCCTAGAAACAAAACACACAACTTTGACAACTGGAAAACTGGGTTCCTTCCTTAGGATGTTTCACTACAGAGTGTGAGACATATAAAAGACACTGACTCACACATACAAATGAGAGTAGCTAAATTTTCAAATTTATGTAACAATAGGTTATACTATTTTCCAAAGTAGGGGAGTCAGTGGTAAGTGACTGAATATTTTACCATCAACGGAAATATTATATTAAACCAACAATTGTCAGAGCTCTATGACGCTATAGAAACTAGTTTATTTACCAATTATAGAATCATAGACTCTGCTTATTGTTCACCGGAAAGAACCTCTACATGTCAAGAAATGTGTCTACCCCACATGCTGCTCAATAAAGTTTTCTGTTTGAAAAGTTCCATCATTACATTACACACTTAGGATTCAGAATGACCAATGTGCAAATGTCCTGTTAGCCTGGGAATAAACACTTCCTAGCAAAACCTACAATGAATCGAATATATTCTGAAGTTCTTATTATCATAAATATTCAAATATAAAAGGCAGTAATACAAAGAACATATCTTTTGCCTGCTGACTTGTAGTTAGGCAGAAACAGACTTTTAAAAGAGACGCCGGTGATGGAATCTTCTATCACAGTCCACTATGCCTACGTTTTGCTCATCACTTACCACAAGATGCCACCTCATCCGTCTGGTCCCCGCAGTCATCCTCTCTGTCACACAGCCACGCTCTGGGAATGCAGCGTCCGTTTCCACAAGAAAACTGATCCACCTGACATGTTCTGGCTGGTCACATCAATTAATAAACAACATTAATGTTAGGGATTTTTTGAATAACATTTAAAATGAAATAATGCCATGCCAGCTCTGTTTTATCCATAGAAACGTTTTATTGCTCTATGAAGGTAAACTATTTAAAAATATATTTTGTATTAAACTTCTGTAGTGCCAGTGTGTTTGTCTGCTCTAAAGGTCACTTGCTTTGCCCTTCAGTTAAAGTGACTGCTAAGTAACCAGATCCTGGGTAATCCTCATTCATTTCCATGAAAAAAGCTGTGAATTCATTATTTGAAAATATCTGGTCTGGGCCATGCTTATGAATATACAGCCAAGTGTAATTTAGTCCCAATTCTAATTAGTAACAAAGAATTTCCCCAATAAACCGAGAAAACATTTTTATGTAATCTAGGAGAAAGCATTTGGGGAATATCACATGGTATCTAACTTCTAATTATGAGGCAGAATGATCCTTTCCCACTAATACTTTCAATGTTACAGAGCCAAGATGTAGAACATGTTTTCTAAAACATACATTTAATCTTAAGATGGATACTTTTAGACTCACTATTCAGCATTTGTTATATAAAATGTATGACTTTTTATTAAAAATGTATGATGTCTATTGATGAACTTTGCTTTGAGCTCTTTGGAGGATTTCAGTGAGCATAAACATGGAGTGCTGTTTTCTAGGTTAGCTAAAGGCAGTGGTTTAAAATTATTATGTGACGAGATTATTTTCTACAGGGGATTTGCCTGCTCTTTCCTCCTAGAGTCAGGTCAAGCTGTTAAGGCATCAGAGTGTAGCTAGCTTGGGCCCAGGCCTGAGGGCGCTACATACATCTTTCAATGGATTGGTTTTCTTTGACTGTCGAGCCTACACCTTCTTCACCCTCTGAGCCACAAATATATCTTCATGAATACAAGTATCTGATCCACTCTATCTTTTCACCCGGCCAAAAAAAAAAAAAGTAGAATATGTTGAGATATGGATACTCAGACTGAGTATATTGTTTAGGTCAAACAAACAAACAAACAAATAAAAAACTCGTTGTCATGGAGTCAATTCCAATATATAGAGACCCCACAGGGTAGAATTTTCCCACTGAGTTTCCGAGACTAGAGCTCTTTATGGGAATAGCAAGCCTCGTCTTTTCTCCCACTAAGCGGCTGATGGTTTGAACTACTGACCTTGCGGTGCAGCTCGTCACCACTATGCCACCGGATATGGACAAAGGGGAACAACCCACGTGACCTAGGTTTCTGGGGTTAATGATGAGTCCTTTGCTTAATTTATAAATTTCATTATGTCTCCTATGCTTGAAAATGATGCTGAGAAATGTCTTAATAGGGTTCATCTATCCATGTCTCTGTAATTCCACCAAATGTTTGGATAACCTAAACAACAGCAATAACAACAAGCTCACTGCTATGGAGTCCATGCGGGCTCATAGCGACTCACTGTGGGTTTCTGAGACTGTAACCATTTCTACAGGAGTAGAAAGCCCAGTCTTTCTCCTGCGGAGCTGCTGGGGGTTTCCAACTGACGATCATGCGGATTGCAGTCCAGAGCATAACCCGGACACCACGTGGGCCCCTCCCTCAATGAAAGCACCTCAGTGGGCTGCCCAAGCGGTAAGGTAAGCAGGGCTGCCTGTGCTCCTCTATGGTCTATGCATCTCTATAGTTCCACAAAATGTTTGGATAGGACTGTACAAATAAAGTGGATGCAATCTTCATAGAGGGGACTGGGCAGCTTTAGCTACCACCTGGCAGAGATCTAAGCCATCTTTGAAGCAAGAAAGAGAGTGAAAAATCTCGGCACCATGGAAAGAAGAGGATTCGTGCAGCCCATTGGAGACCTCTTGTCTGAAGCGTTTCAGGCCCAGACCAGGAGCCCAGAGGCCCCAGTGGCTGAGGCAGGAATACCATGACACGGGACAAAAGAAGAATGCTGACACTGAGACAGAGAGGCAGAGGAGCAGGCTGGCTCCCTGGTCCATGAAGGCAGAGGCCAAGGGACCACATGGCTGAGAGGCTGAGGCCTAGAGAGAGACTTGCTTGCTGATTGAGGCGAGATGCTGGTGTTGACCAATGACTGTATCCTTACTACTTTCTCATCCTGGATTTTGGTCATTCATTCATTCACTCTACTAATATTTTTACTTCACTCACTGTCATAAATTTTATGTGGAAACTGCCCCTGTGAGTTTCTGAAACCGTAACTCTTTATGGGAGTAGAAAGCTCCATCTTTCCCCCAAGGAACAGTCAGTGTTTTGAACTGATGACCTTTCAGATTGCAGTCCTACTCATAACCACTATTCCACATGGGCTCTTTACACCCCTAAGAAACCCCCTTGTTTGTGAGTATTATCTCTGAGTTCAGTATTGCCATTGCAAGGAATTATTGAGCCCAGGATTAAAGTAGAGTGGTATTAGATGAGGGCAAAGGAGGATGGATGGTGGAGGCATGACTGGCTTCTCTGCTGGCAACAGGAGAGCCAGAGGAGGTCAGAGATGACCTCCCCTGCGCCATTCAATGCATGGAGAATCATGAGGCTGTGCTTCGGTTTCATGAAACATCCTATGAACTTGGGACTGGTGGGTGATATAGAGAGTGGCTAGAAGTCCAGTAACCAAAACACAATGCAATGAATTTTCCAAAATGAGCTTTCAGGAACAACTTCTAAAAATCTCTAAAAATATATATGCCTCATGATTTAATGATGTGTATATATTATGAATAAATAATTAAAAGTTAATTCATGAAAAACAAATGGAAACTTTGAAAACTTACTGGCTTGTTGTTATATGAGGGAGATTTAAAAATTTCATGGAAAAACAGAATTAAAGATAATGAAAATTTTTCCCCAAAATTCACTATGTGTTTTGCTTTCACTCTAGTTAAGCGCTCTGAATCTAAAATATTGTATGCAGTTCTCTGATTATTACTTAAAATTTTTTTTAAAGCAGATTTTTGGTTTTCCAATAGATAAGCGTTCCTTTAAATATGTTTATACTGAAATTGATTAATTTAGGATTGAATATTTATTTTTCTAAAACTGATTAGCAAAGCAAATTATTGCATTTACATTTAATAAAATGTAACATTTAGACTAAAATAAAATACCAAGGTAATTTTTACAGGGAAAATATTTACTTGAGAATTATATATATTTATATATTTTTTCCTACCCTAGAGGAGGTGAAAGAATAAACACAAATATCTCTCATTAATTTACTTGCTGGGAAGAATGTGAAAATGAAGATGATTTCAAAGAGATTAATAAAATTTTCATACATATATGTGTTATTTAACCTATTGTAAGAGCACATTTTTACCTTTTGATATTTAAAATAAACTCAATGAGTTTCTTATTTCAATTGTTCTTTCCTCCCTTCTTTTTATTTTTATTTTCTACTTCTTTCTCTTCTTCCTTTATTCCCTACCATTCCTTCCTTTTGTCTTTCTTATTATCTTGCTTTGGGAAAAGTAAAAATATGGACTGTTTTTGTCCAATAAGTTTTAATTGATTACTTAATAAGATTAAGTAAGATTTATCTAGCTTGATTGTTTTCATTGATTATTCTTGTATCATTGTATTGTCATCTAATTATTTAGGTTTAATACTGACAAAGGTTTAGCAAATTGTTTTTTTTTTCATTAAGAGAACTCAGATAATTAGAGAGCAGAATGAGGGAGAACATTTAAGATCCACTGTAAGACGAATCTCATTATGATGTGAAGAGAGCTGTGTGTCACCTCATTAAATCTAAAGTTTGACAAACTGTTATGACTCCAGGAATATCCACTTGCTTATTATCTGAAGTCCCTATGTCCTTAAAATTCATGATTTCGTTGTTTGTTCTCTTTATAAGGTAAACAATGGGCTTAGTCAACTAGGTACATTTAGCTAATCAAGAATGGGAAAGACATTTCATTCCATAAATCTTCAAGTTCTGTGTACATGACATAATCACATGGACTAAAGTATCAGTTTTAATCTCCATGATAGTAGCCCTTGCGATGCAGTGGTTGAAGTACTCAGAAACCAGCTGAAAGAATGATTGGTGGTAGCTTGACCCAAATCATTTCTCCGTGGGAGAAAGAGATGGCAGCTGGCTTTCCTGAAACTGACCACCGTAGGAACTTCAGAAGCAGGTCTACTCTTTCTTATGAGGTCTCTATGAATCCAAATTGACAAAAGGAGTTTGTTCATTTTTTTTATTTTAAATCCCCATATTTGGTGACAAAAAGACGCAAACTATTTTCTACAAATTTCCCTCAACATATTTATGTTAGTTTAGAAGTATGGTTAACATAGGAATCCTAAAGGACACAATTTGAAGCAAAACTGCCTTAATAAAGATAAAATTTACATTTACTCAAGCAGAAATGTTTATCTAGTAGTTGAATCGAAGCTTCAGTCACAATATGATTTTTTTCCTATCCATCACTAATCACTTTTTCTGGCAGCATGGTAACAATGAAAAATCCCACAAAGCAGAAGAAAAATATAGTGTCAAAGCCAAAGAATTATACATTATTTCTATCCTTCACTGTGGTTACATTTTAATCAAAACATTTATTCAAAGATAATTATTTGCAAGAAGCATATCAATTTTTTCTTCAATTAATCTTGTAAAGCATTTGATCTTTAAAGCATAAGGTTTTCTTAATACAGTTACACCTGTCTATTAATACATCTTAATTCCCTGGGTAACATGATTGACAATCTCATCTGCTACCTGAAAGTTTCACAGTTCAAGTCCATCCCGAGGCCCCTGGGAAGAAAGGCATGATGGTCCATCTGAAAGCACAGCCATAGAAAACCTATATGCTCTGAGCACATGGTGGGGAGAGGATGAGTTATAAGTCCCAGGACTTCCTTTTTGTTTTTCTATGAATTTAGTACAATTTTCTCGATTAGATGAGAAAAATCAATATAATGTAATCAAAATAGAGCTGGGATTTGCATAAGGACAGGGACATACTGGTCTCTAAACA